GCTGCCGCCACTACTACCACTACCGCCACTACTACTACTACTGCCTCTGCTGCCACTACTACTACTACTGCCTCTGCTGCCACTACTACTACTACTACCGCCAATACTACTACTACTACTACTATTACTAATACGACTACTGCTACTACTACTACTGCTGCGACTGCTGCTACTACTACCGCTAATACTACTACTACTTTTACTGCTACTACTACTACTACTACTACTACTACTACTACTACTACTACTACTACTACTACTACTACTACTACTACTACTGTTACTACAGCTTGGCTGCTGCTACTACTACTGCCACCTATACTACTACTGCTACTACTACTACTGCTGCGACTGCTGCCACTACTACCACTACTACTACTACCACTCCTACTCCTACTTCAACTACAACAACAACTACTACTACTACTACTACTACTACTACTACTACTACTACTACTACTGCTACTACTACTACTACTACTACTACTGCCACTACTACTACTACTACTACTACTGCTACTACTACTACTGCTGCGACTGCTGCCACTACTACCACTACTACCACTACCACTGCTGCCACTACTACCACTACTACCACTACTGCCACTCCTACTCCTACTTCAACTACTACTACTACTACTACTACTACTACTACTGCTACTGCTACTGCTACTGTTGCTGCTGCTGCTACTGCTACTGCTACTGCTTTTGCTACTGCTACTGCTGCTGCTGCTGCTGCTGCTGCTACTGCTGCTGCTACTGCTACTGCTACTGATACTGCTGCTGCTACTGCTACTGCTACTGCTACTGCTACTGCTGCTGCTACTGCTGCTGCTGCTACTGCTGCTGCTACTGCTGCTGCTGCTGCTGCTACTACTACTACTACTACTACTACTACTACTACTACTACTACTGCTGCTGCTGTCGCCGCCGCCATCATCATGCATAAACTTCTTGAGGAGTAGGAGGTTGTAACACTTGAGGAGTAGGAGGTTGTAACACTTGAGTAGGAGGTTGTAACACTTGAGGAGTAGGAGGTTGTAACACTTGAGGAGTAGGAGGTTGTAACACTTGAGGAGTAGGAGGTTGTAACACTTGAGGAGGAGGAGGTTGTAACACTTGAGGAGGAGGAGGTTGTAACACTTGAGGAGGAGGAGGTTGTAACACTTGAGGAGGAGGAGGTTGTAACACTTGAGGAGGAGGAGGTTGTAACACTTGAGGAGGAGGAGGAGGTTGTAACACTTGAGGAGGAGGAGGAGATTGTAACACTTGAGGAGGAGGAGGAGATTGTAACACTTGAGGAGGAGGAGGAGATTGTAGCAGTGGAAGAGAAGGGGCCCCGTAGTTTTGTGTGTTAATTTTTTTTTTTTGGGGGGGGGGAGGGGGGGTCCTAGACACAGGGCTTTTGCTTTTCTGGCGTCACGCAACGGTACATAGTACCAACATCTTTTTTAGGCATAATTATTTTCAGCGTTACTTAAGAGACACTTTGTGATAAGTACCGGCACATTTTTAGACACATATGGTGAGTACCGGCACCTTTTATTCTCGGAAACAACCTGCCTAGACAGCTGTTACGTTTGACCCACTTTCCAACCCGGTGTCCTGTGCTCATCTTCGTACTGATCGGCTCCTGTCCCTCTTTTCTAGTGCTGTATCCTCCGCTGCTGTCCTTCTAGTCTGCCATGGCCCTTGATGTGGTCAAAATGTTTCAGTTTTAGAGATAAGAATCTGTTTGCGAGGTCCAAATCGATGTTTAGCTTACAAGGTCCCATACCCAGATTACAAGGCTTGAAATAACGATAGTATTTTGTTCAGTATGAGAGGGTCACATGAATTTAAAAAAAAAAAATAACAAAAATTGTCGAAATGTCGACTTATACACAGAAAATACGGTACATAGGACAAAGTAACAGGGTCAGTTAGGGTTTAGTGGTTTGACATAAAAACAAGAGGCAACATGTGGAGTTAAGAAAATGTTTGCCATATCTAAGACCAAAATAATCATTACGTGGACCTTTGTTCCTGGATCGTCAGTTGGTTAAAAAAAAAAAAAATCAAAGCACTTTATGCTTTACTCTGTACCGAATGGGTTAAAGAATATAGACTTCTTTATAAAGTTTTTATTCGCAGATGGTTAGTGTTGAAAACATCCTTATTTCCCAGATGAATCCTGCAGTTTGTCACGTACTGTATGACATTCATTAATTCGTCAAATTCCCATAATCGGCCTCATAGGGTTTTCCCGAAATAATATGTATACATAGAAAAAATACATTTAACTCTTTCTGTTATTCTTATGAGGGGCGTCATAATCTCTCGTTGGGGGCGTTCTCCGTGTCTCAGCCACGGGCGCCAACACAAAGAAACCGTGGGGGGGGGGCGGGGGGAGGGGGGGGGGACCTCAGCCTTTCACTTAAAAAATGTCACAAAACACATTCCAGCCTGAAGTGGGAATTTGGAGAATTATGATAATGTTCCAGAAGAAAGTGACATGGCTGTATTTATATAAATGTAGAATTTTGTACACGAATGAATGTTAATTTCTGTATCTAGAAAATGGAAAAAAAAAAAACATCCTCCCCCCCCCCCGCCCCAAACACGTGGAATCCTGGCGTTCCCAGGAAAGTCTAATGTTATAGGGGTGTTAGGTTTGAAATGAACACCGATTAACCCTAACACCCCTATAATATTTGACTTTTCTGGGAACTCTGAGATCCTCCATGTCTTGGGGTGAATACAGAAAGATACAGAACCCCATGTTTTCAAACAAAATTTAATATGACCCAGTTTCATTTTCGGGAAAACACGATATCTGTTCTTTTTTGTTTAGCCACCACATTACGCGTGATTTACGGATATCCCATATTATAGGGGGGTTAGGATTAGAGTTAGTGTTAAATGAATGGCGACTACTACTAACCCTAACCTTTCCTTCCATACTATGGGATTTCCCTAAATCTCGCGTGATGTGGTCGCTTAACAGAAAAGCACCCACTGTATCTTTACCCCACCTGTTCCCATCACAGACAAGTATGTCACATAGAGAGTGAGAAGGAGTTAATCGAGTTATTTTTCTTCTCACATGCTGCGACAACCAGGATATCATTTTACTATAAATAGTGGATGGGACGTTTGAATTGACAGACGTGTTATTTCCACATCATTGCAAAATATTCTAGGATCTGTATAGGACACAAAGTAAGTTTGTGTGCATACTTTGAAATTTTTGCCTAGTGTGGGTTCCAAGACCCCTCCTGGGGTGGGGCGGGGTGGGGCGGGGTGGGGGTGGGGTGGAGGAAAATAGACACCCACTGCTCCTTAATTAGTAAAGGTTCCTTTTCCCCCCTATAGGGCATATAGGGCTAGACCTATATTTTTAAAGACCAATCGGCACAAATTAGATGATGTGGTCAGCAGCACGCTGGCCGCTTTTACTTTCAGAGACTGCACCCGGTACCCACTCAAGGCTGGGTCGACCTGGGAATCAAGGTCATTTTTGAAAAAGTCCGGCTCCGCCAGGGAGTGAACCCACGACCTTCCGATCCGCACCCGAGCGTCTAGCCGCTGCGCCACGGCGACTCCCGCTCCTTAGTAATGATGTCATAAAAGGCGACTAATTAAGGATTTGCTCAAATCAAAACCGAAAGTGTAGACATCACAGTCTAGCTGTAAACCACAAGACATCGTACCAGTCGGCCTATTTAGACTGAATGAAAAGAAGAAGAAGAAAAAGAAAAAAAATTAGCAGCAGCGGCGGCACTACTACTACTACTACTACTACTACTAGTAGTAGTAGTAGTAGTAGTAGTAGTAGTAGTAGTAGTAGTAGTAGTAGTAGTAGTAGTAGTAGTAGTAGTAGTAGTAGTAGTAGTAGTAGTAGTAGTAGTAGTAGTAGTAGTAGTAGTAGTAGTAGTAGTAGAAGAGGAATAAGAAGATGAAGAAAAAGAAGTTACTTAAAGTAGGTCAGATGTGGGTTTGAATGTGGTCCGCTAATAACACTTTGGGACAAAATGATTTACAATATACTTGATACATTGGTTTTTAACTGTGATTTTCAGTAAAATGTGAGATACTGTAATACCATTTCTCCAGTGAAATTATGTTTTTTTTTAGTAGGCCTATAGTAAACAGACTATTGCGCCCCCCCCCCCACTTTTTTTTTCAAGAAACAAAGGTGTGTCGGTTTAACCACACAGTGTCCATTAAATAAGCGCATAAAAAAATGTACGATGCCTTAAAAAAAAGATGCCGTTGCTACTGTAAAAACTGAAAGGAAAAATTAAAAAGCATTAAAAGTCCTGGGTTTAACCACCGCCTTCTCTAGAAAAATAAATACAGTCGGCCGTTGTTTAACCTGTCAGTTGGACAAGAAATAATGACGTTAGACAAGTTGTGTACTGAAAGAGTTAATAGTCATGTTTTGTCCGAGTAATGTTGAATAAATTATGATGCTCACAGTATTATAAAAATAGAACCGGCTTCTACATCCAGGGCTGAGTTGTAAACACGGTTGATCTTATTCGTCGCAAAATCAAAACTACGTCATTCGTTCGCGTCCAGTTGATCTGTCGGAGATCTCCGGTGTTTGTTTGCCTGACTCGTGTCTACAGAGCCGGGAATTGTTTCGTTGTGAGTAGATATTTTCGTGTTTTTGTGTGTGCTATATATATATATATGTTTTTGTTTCTGATGGTAGGCAATAGTGCGCAGTACCGGCATCTTTTTGGGCATCATTTTTTTTTTTGGCCAGCGCTCCTATAATAGACACTTTGTGATAAGTAACGGCTAATTTTTTAAAAGACTTTTTACGGTGAATACCGGCACCTGTTTCTAGAAATACCGTGGCTCTTCGGTCACTTGGAGTTAATCTTTCGGGGGACACATTAAAAAAAAGTATACGTTATAAGCTGCAGCTAATCCTCAGTGTGTTAAAACAGCGTGAATTATTTCTTGTTGTACTTGACATTCATGGTGCTAAACTCATCGACATCTTTTAGGTTTCTGTCTAGGAAGATTAACTACATCATGAGTGCAGGAGCAAGGTCATTCGGTTTCGGTCTAAAAGCTTTCAAGAGATTTCCAGAGGTGAGTGTCCTGTTCACTAGACCGATGACAGCATTTACGGGGAATGCAATTTTTAAGTAATTGAGCACACACCCAACAGACACAATTTAAATATGCCGAAGTAATAGAGATAAACATGAATAATCCCGTGTAGTGCAAACAAAAGGAGACGCTTGGCAATTGAAGATTACATTGGTAACTTTTACATTGTAACAATACCCTCTGCTAGGTGTTATTTCTGTTTTTAAAAGAGTGCATGTTTGTGCTTTATTATACGAGGTACAAATTACAGTGAAATACGCAAGACAATAAATTGTGCAATATGATGTTTGTGTCTTCTTTAAATAAGTGAGGAAAAAAAATGTCTCTTGGTGGAAGTAAACTTTGAGATGCGCAGTAATACACATATTTACGTAGCAAGGTGAACAAAAGACTTCTGGCGACTATACTGCCAATGCCGAGAGTATCTCCCGCACCACTACGCGCGGATCGGTGGTAAACTAGATTGCTGGAATTCACGAGCAAAGCTGCAGGAGATGCGGAAGCTGCTGCTCGTGAGTCCCTGCCGTCTAGGTTAGCCCCGATCCGCACATAGCAGCGCGGGAGATACTCTCGGCGGTGGCGATCTAGTCGTCGGTCTGCGATCTAAGGCGCCGGAAGTCGGCAGTTTACATGTGACTGAGGTCCAGTAAGGGTATGTTTTTGGCCGCCATAATATGTTGCCGTTATTCAGAGGATAGCCAGAATATCTTTTTTTTTTTTTTTAAATAAAAGTTTTGGAGGTATATGGTTAGTTGCGTATCCTTTACAGGACGTTGCAGAACCAACCCAACAGTCCCTGGCTGTTGTTTGGTTTTTCGAGGCAAATTTACGTCAAGTATTTTGCCATTGCAGACTGAACGGTCGGCTTTCTTGATACCACTGTCGAAACCAACGCAAGGCGCATGGCTCACAGCTGGTATCGAACCCGCCATCCCGGCGCGTTCGCATCGACTTAGCCACAGAGCCGACCTGGAGGTATATAGGAATTATCAAAATAAGAATACGGAAAGCAAAAAAAAAAAAAAACCTCCAAAGCAATACGGGAGTTGAGGAGGTTGGTCGAAATCAACCTACCACATAGATTGTCAGACGTATTGAACCTATGCCGCCTGTTTCAAAAACTAAATTACCCCACCCTCAGGAAGTCTACCTTTTGTAATCAGACTGAAAGATACATTGATAAATATAGATATTTAAGTAATCACTGTGAGTTTTTAACTCTGTTACACGACAGATGAGGGTGGTATTCTGCTTTTTCCTTTGAAAAAAAAAAAATGCTTTTTTCACCCTCAAAATTTACGCCCCTCGCCCATTTCGCATAGCACTGAGATCACTACCGCTTCTCGATTTGCTCCAATTACAATCATGACTTTTATTGTTTCAGCCTACGGAGAGGTAGTCCTATTTCTTCTACACTTTCAGCAATACTGATTTGACATCATCATCATCAGCATAAAAAACTTCTGCCGTTAAGCGACGTGGGTAGGAATAATTTGCGATCCAGTGCATGTTGGCTGCCACTGGCTATTGTCATGCCGTGAAGGCGTAGAGTGTCTTTAATGTTGTCGATCCATAATTTCCGCGGCCGTCCTCTTGCTCTTGTAGTTGATCTTCTGAGATGTAGTGCTTGTGATGGTATTTGATCTTGCGGCATTCTAACGAGATGGCCAAACCACTTGATCTGCTGTTTCTCGATGAATCTAATACAAGGTGTCGTTCTCACAATTTACCTGATAGTTTCATTATTCACTCGAACTCGTATTGTTAGGTTGGCTGCTTTTCTCAGGCACCTCAATTCGCAGGTGGTAATTTTGCGTATATGGGCTTTAGATAGTGTCCATGTTTGGCACTGGTAGCTTAATGTTGGAATAAATATGCTATTAAAAATCTGTCTCTTTGCACTCATAGTTATGCTTGGATTTGACGTTGAGTTAAATATACTAATTTGATTCTTGTTAGAACTTCCCTCGACTTTCACATATTCCCCCCAGTGCTATGAAAACTCCTCTTGCCACCTGTAGTCGCATTTATACAAATATGCATCTGTCTATTATTCCATCATCTTCGCTTACGGTCCTTCACCATATAGGCATATAACGATCTGTGCTTCTTTGGAACATCATCATCATCGACCATTGCTCTCCGGGAAGTCGCCGGTCGGGACAGTATTTGGGTCTGTCTCCTTTGATCGCATCAGCACTGTAGTCGTCCTTGTCAGGGCTCTTGTTGGCGTGCACTGCTAAGCCATTGTATATGGTGCACATAACCTAGTCACAATTATAACCTAAAGCTCCGCCTTCTTGGATGCTGGCCGAACGTGGCATTTTTTTAAGCAAAGCATCGCATTGCTTCTTTGGAAAATAACGCCACCGCTCAGTGCGTACTTTAGTTTACCGTGAAACCATCGGCTACAAAAACAAAAATTGTTGCTTTATTCTTCCACTGGGGCCTCAATAAGCTCACGCCAAGTCGTTCTATCCTCGGCTAGTGAAATTGTTATTTTAGCTAATGAATAGGTCTACCTTAAGCAATTAGAACAATCCCACTATGTGACAGAAAGGGTCAAAGTAGCCACAGTTACAGAATAGTTTATGTAAAGACTGACTGGTGCAGAATGAGTTAAAAGAATTAAAGCATACAAGTAGAAACTGATAAACCCATGATGAGTTGCTTTGCGAGTGAATTCGTTAAGCCACCGAATCGGACAAGGAATGAGTTAAAAACTAGTCTAAAAATAATCACGTTTCAGCTGTTTACCGGCAGACCGGTTTAGGTCTCGGAGGTTTCATCCACGCATTTGTTCCTCTCATTGGATAAAAAATAGTGGACCCGGCTTTCAACTCCACGGCTGAATGTATGCAAACATGGACGTGCTAGCTCTGTACAAATAGGATCCTTTTACAGAATATAATACGTTATTTGGAAAGCCCTTACTGGCTATACCAGAAAAGTAGTTCCCCCCCCCCCTACCCCTTGCGACAGTGAGTTATAGTTTACAAATTCGTGCAGTTGTACTTACTTAGTCGCTCCTTTTCTACCTTAGGGTGTAGAGGTTTGCCATATATCGTCAGACTTCTCTATCGGCAGTTTTCTTTCTTGCTTTGTTCCATTCAGGTCCCCTGTCAGCCAGACACTGTCGAATGTTATCTTCCCAGCGGACTCCTGGTTGCTCTGGAGGTCTTGCTTTCTGGTTCTGCCTCCCACACCTTTCATTGTATTTTCATAATTTCTTGGTAATTACTTATTCTGGGGAACTGATTTTTGTATTTTGCACGCGCATGGTGACATGGTCACTCACAACAAACCATAAAAGAAAATTAGTAACCACGGAAATGAGATGTCTGAGAAGGGCTGTAGGAGTGACCATAAGAGATAAGATCAGGAATGAGATCATAAAAGAAATTCTGGTTTACATACGAAGACAGCATGTGAAATGGTTTGCCCACTTAGAGAGAATGTCTTGTGACACCATTCCATACAAAGCATACATGGAAAGAGAAGAAGGACGTAGAGCACGAGGTAGACCAAGAACAAGATGGAAGGATAACATCTGAGAAACTCTACAACAGAACGATGTGCCTATGGTCGAGGCGGCCAGAAGAGCTAGAAACAGAACCTTATATCTCCCTCGACACCCACAGCGGTAAAAGCGGAAGTGAAGAAGAAGAAGCACGCGCTCTATTTTCATCTCAACGTTAGTGTTTTATATATAAATAATATTTAGACTGTCCACTTGTATCGAAACACCTTCTGTTTTGTGTGCGGTACTTTCACAACTTACATAGTTTTAGTTAGGTAAAAATACACATTTTACAGTACCTAGATGAATGGCCCTAACCCTACCCTAACCACAGACGTTACACATTTACAACGTGTCGCAAATTTGGAAATAATTCAGCACACTCCTTTTATTATTGTGCCTTATTCAGAATTTACGTCAAACACAAGAAACACACGATTTTGTGAAAGGTCTGTTGGTTGCATTTGAACTGTGTGCTGCATACAAAGCAATCCAGCGAGGATCACCGTATATTTATATACCTCGAATAAGCAAAAAAATGCATTCTAATTATTTGTTATGCCAGCGAGAAAATCTGATATAGCTTTGAGAATGAGGTAAATATTAAAATAGTTTCATCCATTTATATTCCACTACAGATGATTTATTATTTTTTAAACATCTGCTCCACTTTGTAAACTATTCAAATAACAAACCAAGCAACTCTAGATATTTACATTTTCAAGTGTTCATAGCTCATAACTCTAGACAGTATGATAACCAAGATAAGGTGGAAATGGCTTTGTTACGTCATGAGAATGAGTCCTGATGTACCTGCACAAACAGCTCTTGGACACCAAAGGAAAAATGAAAGAAGGGGAGCCCAAAAACAACATGGAGGAGAACGATGGAAAGTGACCTGTCCTGGGTCTTTGACATGGAAAACTGCATTGAGGATTGCACAGGACAGGAAAGCATGGAAAGTCCTCTCTGAAGCCTCATTCTTCTTCTTCTGCCTTTCTATCCCCCAATGGAGCATAGGCCCTCAACCAACTCACGCCAAGTCGTTCTATCCTTCGCCATTACATGGAGCTCTCCCCATGTCCTCCCAATCTTTCTAACCTCATTTTCCAGCTCTCTTCTCCATGTGTTTTTTGGCCTTCCTTTATTCCAGGTGCCAATTCTGGAGGTTTTGAAGCCTCATCTTTTTCTTCTTCTTCACTTCCTCTTTTACCGCTGTGGGTGTCGAGGGAGATATAAGGTTCTGTTTCTAGCTCTTCTGGCTGCCTCGACCATAGGCACATTGTGCTGTTGTAGAGATTCTCTGATGTTATCCTTCCATATTGTTCTTGGTCTACCCCGTGCTCTACGTCCTTCTTCTCTTCCCATGTATGCTTTGTATGGTATTGTGTCACAAGGCATTCTCTCTAAGTGGGCAAACCATTTCACTTGCTGTCTTTGTATGTAATCCAGAATTGGTTCTGTGCCGACTTGTTCTCTTATGATCTCGTTTCTGATCTTATCTCTTATGGTCACTCCTACAGCCCTTCTCAGACATCTCATTTCCGTGGTTTCTAATTTTCTTTTATGGTTTGTTGTGAGTGACCATGTCTGGCACTGGTAGCACAGAGTTGGAATAAATATGCTTTGAATAAGATGTCTCTTTGTGCTGACTGGGATTGTCTTATGCTGTAAGAGGGGGGCTAGCTGTCCCAATACTTGGTTTGCTTTACTGCATCTAATGTCAATTTCTTTATCCAATTTCCCATCTTCGGTAAATGTAGTTCCCAGATATTTAAACTCAGATGCCTGTTTAATGCCTTTGTATTCTATTGTTATGTTTAGATCTGTCTTCTTTTTTCCTATTGACATTACTTCTGTCTTTTCAGTGTTGATTTTCATATTATTTGTTTTACATTCTTCATTCATGGATGTTAGATGTTGTTGCAATTTCATGGCTGTATCTGCTATCAAGGCCTGGTCATCTGCAAAGAGTAATTCGTTGATCTTACTAAGATCTTCATACTAGGCATAAAAAGAAATGATGATGATTTTGATCTTCTAGCGTAAAAAGGATAGACTCATTTAGACTGTCTAGTCTCAATGAGTGTCCAGAGTTTTTCTCGTCAATTCTAATCAATGGAAGTAAATGTCCCTACCAGACAGCGGCTACGCTGGTTCGGTCACGTAGACATCTTTCTATTTCTAGGAAAACCATTTGTGTTGCCAACAAATAATCGATGAAAGCGTGACGCGCCAAAACGGGAGAATGTAAACAACTGCTAGGTCCCGGTGTTTGATATCCGGGTCAGACTGTCTCAGTGGGTGAATGGAGGGAAGAGGTGGGCTGAGAGTCAGAAAAAAAAAGAAGAAAATAAATAATTCAATGCAGGCCTATAAGGAATTAACTCTTGCACTCCCTAAAGCAAGTCTCCTTCTCCTTCTCTTTCTTCTTCTTCTTCTTCTTCTTCTTCTTCTTCTTCTTCTTCTTCTTCTTCTTCTTCTTCTTCTTCTTCTTCTTCTTCTTCTTCTTCTTCTTCTTCTAATTCTTTAGTTATCTTATCAAAGTTTTCGTGAGTGTTACCAGGTTCATGATACTTGTTCAGCGTGTCTCTCTGTGGCAGCTGGTAATAGGGCTTCTCGTCTTATGGCTAGACTACTTCGTCTTATTTACTTCTACAAGAGCCAAGTTTATACACCTTGTTTAAAAAAAAAATTTGGAAGGCTACAGGTCCATTTAATTGATTGGGTATTATCCCCTGGGCTAGGTCTTTCTAAGCAGAGTGTATACTCGCCTCGGGGGGGGGGGGGGGGGGGGGTAACATACAGCGAGAACTCCGTTGTTCCAGCAATGAGAATCGGGGATTTCTACAGCACATGTAATGGCGAACGGGAGGCGGCGTCCAAACCCAAACCTACGAACCACGACTTCCTGCAGTTTTTAATCGTTACCGACTGGAGACGGCATTGTTTTAATCTACTGCCGGAGGTCACGCCACGAATATAAAGCGTTAGGCCACGGATATCACTAGTAAACTAGGCTAAATGCAGGAAATACACGCGATGGTCGGCGTCTGTGGCTTGAGCATTGCGAACGCGCTTCATAGTACCGAGTGTCACGTTGGATCCAAATTGCGGGCGATTTGACAGCAGCCCACCTAGTGTTGGTTACGACAGTGGAATCCTAAATTAACCGTGCATAAAGCAGTAGCAAACTACTGAACGCACAATTGCCTAGTGAAATAACAAGCAGCCAAAAATGATAGGGTTGGTTCTGCAACGTCCGGCGAGGGACACGCATCTGATTTTGTATAACACGGAACTAACGTCTCGTCGCGTTGATTTGTGTACAGAACAGCATGTCACGTTGATGAGTATTCCGATGATTAGCATGTCACGTTAAGGGCTACACTGATGATTGGTATGTCACGTTGATGGGTATACAGATTATACTGATGATTGGTATGTCACGTTGATGGGTATACAGATTATACTGATGATTAGTATGTCACGTTGATGGGTATACAGATTATACTGATGATTAGTATGTCACGTTGATGGGTATACAGATTATACTGATGATTAGTATGTCACGTTGATGGGCATAAGATTATACTGATGATTAGTATGTCACGTTGATGGGTATACAGATTATACTGATGATTAGTATGTCACGTTGATGGGTATACAGATTATACTGATGATTAGTATGTCACGTTGATGGGTATACAGATTATACTGTTGATTGGTATGTCACGTTGATGGGTATACAGATTATACTGATGATTGGTATGTCACGTTGATGGGTATACAGATTATACTGATGATTAGTATGTCACGTTGATGGGCATACAGATTATACTGATGATTAGTATGTCACGTTGATGGGTATACTGATGATTAGTATGTCACGTTGATGGGTATACCGATGATTAGCCCGGCACGTTGTTGTGTATACCGATGATTAGCCCGGCACGTTGTTGTGTATACCGATGATTAGCCCGGCACGTTGATGGGTATACCGATGATTAGCCCGGCATGTTGTTGTGTATACCGATGATTAGCATGTCACGTTAAGGGCTATACTGATGATTAGTATGTCACGTTGATGGGTATACAGATTATACTGATGATTAGTATGTCACGTTGATGGGTATACAGATGATTAGGATGTCACGTTGATTAGTAGATAGAACAATAATATGTCATACTAGTAGTATACATAAAAATACCATGTTATGAAGATTGGCACACACAAGAATATAATGTCACGCTGATTGTTATACAGAAGAATAACATGGCACGTTGACTGGCATAAAGAATTAAGAATATGTCACCTTGATTAGCTTACAGAAGAATACCCACCCACACAGGACTAAAGGTTACCTTTGTACTGTTTTATTCATCATCATCATCATCAGTTCTCGTTATGCCTAGTGGCACATGAGGCTTCAGATAGGACTTTCCATGCTTTCCTGTCCTGTGCAATCTTCAGCGCAGTTTTCCATGTTAAAGATGCCGCATTCAGGTCACTCTCCATCTTTTCGCCTCCATGTTGTTTTTGGGCGCCCCTGTTTTCTCTTTCCATCTGGTGTCCATGTGAGTGCTGTTTTGGCAGGTATTTCAGAATTCATTCTCATAACGTGGCCAAGTTATTTCCATCTTCTCTTGGTTTTAATACTGTCTAAAGTTTCTTGGTTTGTGACTTGAAGAAGTTTAGTGTTTGAGATTGTATCTGGCGAGAAAATTTTGATAATTCTACGTAGACATGTGTGGTGGAAGGTGGACAGCTTGTGTGCATCCTTTTTGGTCATTCTCCAACATTCCGCTCCATAAAGAAGAAATGGCAAAATGATGCTCTTGTAGAGTCGGAGTTTCGTTCCTCTGCAGTAATTGTTGGATTTCCAGATTTGCCTCATCCTTCTAAAAGCAGCGCTAGCTTTGTTCAGACGTGACTTTATGTCCTCTTCGGTCCCTCCCGGTAGGGACACCACACTGCCCAGATATGTGAAATGTTCTACATTTTCAAGAGTTTTTGTTATTTACGGTCACTGGTTGTTGGTTTGGACTGCTTGTCATGACTTTAGTTTTCTTTGTATTTATTCTCAGTCCCACCATTTCTGCTGTATTGTACTGTTTTATTATACCCCCAATAAAAACTATATAGCTAAACGGTTGAACAAGGTTTCCTGGACTTGCAGCGGTTTGATTCTCATCTTTGAGCTGTTAATCTTACAACCTCGGGGAGGCAAATACTATAAAAATAAAAATAATTATATATAAAAGGCTTGCCACGTTGGTCGGCATATTGACGAATAGCAATTTACCCCTACTGAATATACAGTAATGTACTCTTGATTTATCACCATCATCATCATCATCATCAGGTGCCTTGCCGACTGGCGTGGGCGATCATGACTCTCCATAATCTGCGATCTCCTGCAGCATGTATCAGTTCGTGTGCCGACACACCTTCCTGCCATGCAACAAGACTGTCAAGCGTCTTCTCTCGTTGTCTTTATCTATCTCTCCTTCCACAGATATTTCCAGTGGTCGCAACATGTTCTATTCTCCCTCTTCTCATAACATGGCCGAAACATGATGTATGTCTCCTTCTAATGTCTGTGATAAGTTGTCTTCGGGCTCCCGCCTCTTTCAAAACCTCTTGGTTGCTCTTTTTGGCTGTCCAAGGTATTCTAAGCATTCTTCTGTAAAACCACATCTCTGAGGCCTCTAGAAATTGTTTGGCCTGCCTACCGATTGTCCAGGATTCACAGCCATATGTTAAAACTGGAAACCACCGCTGTACTATCCCAAGAAAATCATGCCTCAAAATAATAGGAATTGATTTTTCACCTTAGTTATTTTCCCTTTAAACGTCTGACATAGACGCTAGCTTTCTTTGGTTCATTTTAGGAATGAATGAGTTTAGGTATCAAAGGTTAGCGAACAGATGATAACACATCTTTTTGATTCCCTGCAGTTGGTTCCACTTGTAAGTATCCTCTCGGCTGCCTGTCTCGGAGGTACCGGCTTCATTGTGTACTCCCTGGCGACCAAGCCGGATGTCAGGTGAGACCTGTTTGCTGTACTACATTCAAAACTTTGAAACTAAATTATTCACGGCGGTACACACTGATGCGCAGTACCTGCACCTTTAATATGAGGGGAAAACGACCTGAGTCCGTCACGGATGCTATTGATTCGAATCCGCACGGATCGAATTTGAAGAAAACATAAATGACCTTGGATTCAAGGTCGACATAGTCTAAAATGGGTACCAGGCAAAGTTCTACGAAGTAAAAGATTCTACGTGATGTTGACTGCATCACCAATCGAGCATCTATTGAATATTGTTCTACAGAAATATGACTCTTGCATCATATGCCCAGCGCATCGTCAATGTGAAAAAGATCAATTGCAAACTTCACTTGTAACTATTTTACAGACTGTTCACTTGTAACTGTTTTACAGACTGTTCCCGTGTAACTATTTTACAGACTGTTCACCTGTAACTGTTTTACAGACTGTTCACTTGTAACTATTTTACAGACTGTTCACTTGTAACTGTTTTACAGACTATTCCCGTGTAACTATTTTACAGACTGTTCACTTGTAACTGTTTTACAGACTGTTCCCGTGTAACTATTTTACAGACTGTTCACTTGTAACTGTTTTACAGACTGTTCACTTGTAACTGTTTTACAGACTGTTCACTTGTAACTATTTTACAGACTGTTCACTTGTAACTGTTTTACAGACTGTTCCCGTGTAACTATTTTACAGACTGTTCACTTGTAACTGTTTTACAGACTGTTCACTTGTAACTGTTTTGCAGACTGTTCCCGTGTAACTATTTTACAGAATGTTCACATGTAACTGTTTTACAGACTGTTCACATGTAACTGTTTTACAGACTGTTCAACTGTTTTACAGACTGTTCACTTGTAACTGTTTTACAGACTGTTCACTTGTAACTGTTTTACAGACTGTTCACATGTAACTGTTTTACAGACTGTTCACTTGTAACTGTTTTACAGACTGTTCACATGTAACTATTTTACAGACTGTAACTATCAGACAGTTCCCTTGTAACTGTTTTACAGACTGTTCACTTGTAACTGTTTTGCAGACTGTTCCCGTGTAACTATTTTTACAGAATGTTCACATGTAACTGTTTTGTTCACAGACTGTTTTAATAGACTGTTCACATGTAACTGTTTTATAGACTGTTCACATGAAAACTGTTTTACAGACTGTTCACTTGTAACTGTTTACCTGTTTACAGAACTGTTTTCACATTGTAACTGTTTTACAGACTGTTCACTTGTAACTGTTTTACAGACTGTTCCCTTGTGTAAGACTATTTTTTTACAGACTGTTCACTTGTAACTGTTGTAGACTTCACTTGTTTTTTACAGACTGTTCACTTGTAACTTGTTTTTACAGACTGTATTTTACAGACGTAACTGTTCACTTGCATTTGTAACACAAACAAAATGCTAACAAATGTTTATCCTGTAAAATGGTACATAGGTGAGCAAAAAATTTCTCAAGGACGCTCTAAAATTGGTGATGAAGTCCGATCTGGTCATCCTGTTTAGACTGCAACAGACGCATCTATGCAGCGGATGAAGGAGATGATTAGAGATGACAGGCAAGTAACGGTTGACTCCGAAGCAGCTGCAATAGGGTGCTCACATGATTCAGCATACATTATAATGTATGATTGATTGAAATTTAAGAAAGTGTGCCTAAGGTGGGGTACCCAGACAGTTTAATGTGAAGTAAAAATGTAGTTAAGAAAAGAGAGCACGCAGCAAGTTTGGGAGGACCATAATGGGACAGGTGCAGCAATGTTGGTGGAAATCATGTCCAAAAATAAAGGGACAGTATATCTATAAAATTAAACGGTTTTTAACTTGTTATCCTCTTTTTTTTTTTAAAGTCTTTTATGTTTTACTTTTTGACTTTCCCTGTAAATGTTTACATATTGCTTATGTATAACTAGTTTACAAACTATACATGTATAACTAGTTTACAGTCTGTTTATGTGTAACTATAGTTAACAGAATGTATATTTTAACTAGTTTGCAGACTTTATATGTGTAACTAGTTTACAGACTGTTTATGTATAACTAGTTTACAGACTGTATATGTGTAAGTATAGTTTACAGACGTGTGTGTAACTGTAGTTTATAGTCTGGTTATATGTAACAGTTTGTTTAAAACGTTAAAAACTTTATTTATTCATATGCATCGTTCAGTGCTCTTGATATATCTGGTGTCTTGTTAAACTTGTTAGCTTCACTTGACATTTAATAAGATCATTTTTGCTGGGTTCGTCTAACTACTTCTAAAATCTACTGCTTGAAGAAGAATATAATACTGAGGTTAGTATGCAACTACTTAGGTTCACATTCATGAATGTCATAAATGTTCAGGGCTATGATGTTAAATAATCCAGGTTACTCAGTCGCTGATGGAAATAGACAACTGAGTCACACCTGTTTCAGGCTGCAAAGATTCTGCAGTTTTTGGCTTACTAAATTTCTAACTGAAGTTTACAGACTGTTTACATGTAACTGTAATCTACAATCTGTTTATTTGTAACTAGTTTACATACTATTTATGCATAACTGCAGTTTACATACTGTTTATGTGAGATGGTTTATGTAACTAGACTAAAAATTATTTATGTATAACTAATTAACAGACTGTTATATATTTTAATTTCATCCGGCAGGGTTATAAAGTCCAAGGGTCCAGCTTACGAGGATGTCAACCCAACAGAGAACAGAAAAGTAAGTGTGAAGCGATGGACAATTTTGTGTCAGTTAGTGTTTGAAGAAACAAAAGAGCTGTTAGAAGTAATGTGCTGAAATAATTTGGTCATATCAAGCACCATGAGGGGGACCAGTTAGCACAGTCGATAAGAGACTCTCTTTCAAACCCAGCTGTGACTTGCTGCAGCGCACGACCGGTGTTCTAAACCAGATGGTTCCTGGTGTACTGGGTACCAGAGTTAACACTCTGGGGTAAATGGAGGAATGTTGCTGCAGCTATGGAGTTGTGTGGGGATGGCGACACAGGCAGACAGTTTCTTATCAGCTGTCCGTACTGGTGGCACAGCACTTATGGTTTATTACCGTGTGCAATGATGCTGCTTCAAATCTCCCTACTTTGCCGTTAACTTTTATCAAGCACCACGGCAGATATTACAAATAATAGCAAAAGGCATGGCAAAAGGAAGGAGGGGGCAGGGGCCGACCAACATGAAGTTGGGTACAGAATTTAAGGGACTCCTTAGATATGAAAATGCATGAGGCGGGAGAACTGGTGAGAGGCCGAGTTTCTTTCCTGCAAACCGTGATGAGAGTGACGTTATGCAAAGAGCCTGCTACTCACACACACACGCATGCATACACACACATTTACAAATGTAAACTGAATGCTATGCTTATCAATAGTTTTCCTAATACTGAGTCTACGAGGTTCAGAGGACTAGGACATACTTGGAGAATATAGATTGCTAGAGTTTCTAAGCACATCCTCTGTGGTGATTTATGGATGGATTGGAGTTGTTGGGGCCAGCCTCTGCCATGCTTTCTTCGCATTCACCGGCTGTAAACTCCCATCAATAGTTCTAGCTGTTCATCCACTTCTGGACTTTCGTCTTGTTCCAAAACCTGAATTTTGTGTCTTCTTTATCGTGTGCCATCTCCACATTGACTGTTGGCTGCAGTATTTTTCCAGGGTACAACTCTCCTACCATTGTCCGAAAGCTGCAAGAATGGTCTCTTTATGTCTATTAGAAAAAATAAAATAATTTACGAGCTGTGTGCAATGGAAATGGAACCCTAATACTTCGAGGACTGTAAAACTCTTCTTCTTTTCGTTCACCCCAGTGACGTTATTGCACTGTGCCTGTTTACGGTGCTCCTTTCGGCCAACACATTCAACTTCATCAAGCATTTGTTGACCGAGTTAACTTCCCAGAGGATTGTGAAATAGATACATACACTTCCCCTCGTAGGTTTTGGGACACCACTTTATTGTGAAATAGATACATATACTTCCCCTTGTAGGTTCTTGAACACCACTTTATTGTGGAATAGATACATACACTTCCCCTTGTAGGTTCTGGTACACCACTTTATTGTGGAATAGATACATATACTTCCCCTTGTAGGTTCTTGAACACCACTTTATTGTGGAATAGATACATATACTTCCCCATGTAGGTTCTGGTACACCACTTTATTGTGGAATAGATACATACACTTCCCCTCGTAGGTTTTGGGACACCACTTTATTGTGAAATAGATACATACACTTCCCCTTGTAGGTTCTGGAACACCACTTTATTGTGAAATAGATACATACACTTCCCCTTGTAGGTTCTGGGACACCACTTTATTGTGAAATAGATACATACACTTCCCCTCGTAGGCTCTGGCACACCACTTTATTGTGACATAGATACATACACTTTCCCTCGTAGGCTTTTGTATACCACTTTATTGTGACATAGATACATATACTTCCCCTTGTAGGTTCTTGAACACCACTTTATTGTGAAATAGATACATACACTTTCCCTCGTAGGTTCTGGTACACCACTTTATTGTGGAATAGATACATACACTTCCCCTTGTAGGTTCTGGACCACACCACTTTATCGTAGGCTGGAATAGATACATACACTTTCCCTCGTACTTCCCACTTTATTTGTACATAGATACATACACTTCCCCTTGTAGGTTCTGGTACACCACTTTATTGTGGAATAGATACATACACTTCCCCTTGTAGGTTCTTGTACACCACTTTATTGTGAAATAGATACATATACTTCCCCTTGTAGGTTCTTGAACACCACTTTATTGTGGAATAGATACATACACTTCCCCTTGTAGGTTCTGGTACACCACTTTATTGTGACATAGATACATACACTTCCCCTTGTAGGTTCTGGTACACCACTTTATTGTGACATAGATACATACACTTTCCCTCGTAGGTTCTGGTACACCACTTTATTGTGACATAGATACATACACTTCCCCTTGTAGGTTCTGGACCACCAGTTTATTGTGACATAGATACATACACTTTCCCTCGTAGGCTTTTGTATACCACTTTATTGTGACATAGATACACACACTTACCCTTGTAGGCTCTGGGACACCACTTTATTGTGACATAGATACATACACTTTCCCTCGTAGGCTCTGGTACACCACTTTATTGTGACATAGATACATACACTTCCCCTTGTAGGTTCTGGGACAACACTTTATTGTGAAATAGATACATACACTTTCCCTCGTAGGCTCTGGTACACCACTTTATTGTGGAATAGAAACATACACCTCCCCTTGTAGGCTCTGGGACACCACTTTAGAGGAAAAGAAAGTGATCTGCTGCCCCACTAAAAAGAATATACTACAAAGTGACTAATTAGGAGTTTGTTAAAATCAAACGTGTTGCGCTGCAAAGACTGTGTCAGTGTCCTGTGTGGCTATGAGAGGGTGTGCCAGCTACCCTTTTAAGGATAAATACAATGGAAGAAGATACATCTACTACCGGAGACATGTTGATAACACCAGTGTTTTATTTATTCACTTTGTTCCCTTGAGCTGCTGCCTAAAGGTTTATTATATATAAACAAACAGATAATGTATTGATCGACACTCATAGAAAGAAGTAAAAAAGATGGACACACTAGACAACATAAAAATCAAAAACTATAGTTACTGTGCTGAGAATCGAACCTGTCACCTCCAAATAGCGTGTAAAGATGAGGTAAAGGTGACAGAATTTATTTCATTGCCCCTGGTTTTATCCCATATGGTTCAGTCTCTCATCGCAGAACAGCCAGCTGCCTGCCGAGAGGGCTGCTTTCTTCTTCTTCTTCTTCTTCTGCGTTCGATATCAGTCATGCTAAACATTGAGTCCCGTCTGGGTCACAAATAGGATTGTGCGTTTAAGGTCGCCACCGGTCCCCCATAGCTTCTCTTGCAATGTGGCTCCCTTGGGCCAGATCCACAGACTTTGCTGGGAGAGGTTAGGGCAGTACTGTAGTATGTACTCAGGGTTCTGTCTTTCTGTTCCACAATCACAGGCAGCAGATTCTTTTATGCCTATCCTGTACAAGTGTGCTCGAAGAGAACAGTGTCCAGTCCGAAGTCTAAAAATTGATGTTTGTTCTTTCCTGTTGAGTTTGTTTATGCTGTCACTCTCTGGTCTGTAATCTCCATTCTGCCTTCTCCACTCCCGCTTAAAAGACTGCTTTAGCGCTGTTTTGGTTTCCTTGTAGCTGTGTGGTGGATGGGGTTGTGGAAGATTACTCCCAGCTTTTACCAACTCATCTGCTCTCTCATTTCCTTGAATCCCACAGTGGGCTGGTATCCACTGCAAGACCAGTTCTGCTTCCTTGGAGAGTAAGCCAATGTTGGTCCTTAGATCAGAAATTAGTTTGTCTTGTTTTTTGCTGGATAGTGCTTGGAGAACAGACAATGAGTCACTAAGTATAACAATTTGGTGCCCTCTGTGTTCTTGAGTGATTAGATGTTGGACTGCAGAGAGGAGGGCAGTTGCCTCAGACCAACAAGCCAGACCCCAGATACCCTGTTCAGCCTCAAGAGAGGTTATAATACATGACTACACCCTCCAGTCCTATCTATGTGAAACAAGTTAGTTGTCTGTCCTTTACAGGATGTTGCAGGCCCAACCTCAGCAATTTTTGGCAGCTTGTAATTTTACTAGGCAATTTTACATTAATAGTTTGTCATTGATTCTGAACAATTAGCTATTAATACCACTTTCGAAACCAATGCAGGATAGTCTGTTGCCAAATCATCTGCAGCTGGGATCAAACGTGGCACCTCGGCAGTACAAAGAGCATTAACAGATGCTGACTATCCAGATAGGGACGACCAGTATATTAAGCACATCTAGACAAGACTGTCCAGATAGGGACGACCAGTATATTAAGTATGTCTAGACAAGACGATCCAGATAAGGACGGCCAGTATATTAAGTATATTTGGACAAGACGATCCAGATAGGGACAACCAGTATATTAAGTATATCTAGACAAGACTATCCAGATAGGGACGACCAGTATATTAAGTATATCTAGACAAGACTGTCCAGATAGGGATGACCAGTATATTAAACACATCTGGACAAGACTATCCAGATAGGGACGACCAGTATATTAAGCACATCTAGACAAGACTATCCAGATAGGGACGACCAGTATATCAAGTATATCTAGACAAGACTATCCAGATAGGGACGACCAGTATATTAAGTATATTTAGACAAGACTATCCAGATAGGGACGACCAGTATATCAAGTATATCTAGACAAGACTATCCAGATAGGGGCGACCAGTATATTAAGTATATTTAGACAAGACTGTCCAGATAGGGATGACCAGTATATTAAACACATCTGGACAAGACTATCCAGATAGGGACGACCAGTATATTAAGTATATCTAGACAAGACTGTCCAGATAGGGACGACCAGTATATTAAGTATATTTAGACAAGACTATCCAGATAGGGACGACCAGTATATTAAGTATATTTAGACAAGACTATCCAGATAGGGACGACCAGTATATTAAGTATATTTGGACAAGACGATCCAGATAGGGATGACCAGTATATTAAGTATATTTAGACAAGACTATCCAGATAGGGACGACCAGTATATTAAGTATATTTAGACAAGACTATCCAGATAGGGACGACCAGTATATCAAGTATATCTAGACAAGACTATCCAGATAGGGACGACCAGTATATCAAGTATATCTAGACAAGACTGTTGTCATCAAATGTCGTCTGGACCACGGGTGTAAGCAGTGAACAAGAGACAAGAACAGAGATTACTATTTCATTCTTTTATCTTTTTTTCAGCTGGTTCAAGTCAACAAAGATCATTACCAGCCGATTCCAGAACTAGAAGAGCTCAGGAAAGAGATAGGCCATTACAAACCTTAAATGTGTGTAGAAAAGTGCAAGGATAACCAACAAAACATCCCCAATTATTTATTCATTTTCACTGTTTCCATTTTAATTGTCAACACTGAATGAACACAGTTGTAGTTTGGCTTTTAAGTCATAAAATGTTTGTTTAATCAGTGTGTATATAAGAAGATTATACATTTGATATTATGTGTTTATTTGATTGCCTAATTTGATTTTCATTGCTTGTTGACAGATTTAGTTATGTTTGTGCTCTTGACGCATAGAAATACATGCTATGATTTTAAATTCCATTTAATAAATGGATTAATTTGTGAAAATTAGTCCAGTGTGTATTGCATTTGCAATGACTAAATTGTTAGTCACCATGATAAAGATAAAAATTGAATTAAGAAATAGTGCAGTTCATTGAAGCTTCAGCAAAGCAGACCAAGTATTGAGAAGCTAGCCTCCTTCTTGCATCACCCCCCCCCCCCTCCCCCCAAAAGAATCTCATACAATGCATATTTATCTCTAGCCTAAGGTAGAAAAAAAAAGTTTGCTAGAGTTTATTTCTTCTTAGAACTCTAGGAAAATTAATCTTTGTCTTATCTTGATATTAAAGAAGAGTACTTCTCAGACTTTGGTACAATATCTCACTATTGGTCAATGATATCTGATTTGTTAAGAAAAAAAAAATGTTTGAAAATGTGTGGGTATTTTCTGAATGCTACCAATTTAAAAAAAAAAAAGGTTTCTCTATGTAATCCACCACCCCCTCCCTTTTTTTTCTCTATCTTCCTTTCTCATTTCTCTCTCTCTCTCTCTTTCTCTCTCTCTCACTCTAGCAGCACACTGTACATTGACACACCAGTCCTCATAGAACAGCAAACATTACCATTCTCTTTCTTCATTCTTCCAATCCGGTTAATTTTAAATTTTACCCAGGACTTTTTGTTGTAGAAAGAAAGATGCAGTTACTAACCACAGTGTGTCAAAAACAGGTGCTGGTACAGATCCCAAAGTGTCTCTTACAGAAACACCAGAAAAAAATGTGATGCCTAACAAAAGTGCTTGTACTGCACACTGTGTACATCAAGAAAAAAACTCGCTTTATCAGTCTCCCTTATTTGCTATTTTTTAATGTTTCAAGTTTGTTTTTTCTAACAGAAAAAAAAGGGGATTTCTGTTTGATTAAATGTATTACTGAGCTTTAATCTTGGTGTTCTAGCTTTAAATAAATCATTTCATATTTAGAATTATGTTAAATAAACACTTGTTATACCCAAATACCCAGGAAAAAATCTGAATGTTTCTATCCTAGCTGTTAATTTAATTCATTTAGTCCCCATGCCTCTGTTACTGTTACTTCTCTGTCCCTAAGTTTTATTATTAATCTCATAAAATAACAATTGCCTTGGACGGAGAGTTCTGTTTATTTTTAATATTAGTAAAATTTGTAATTTTTTGCTGAATTTGCCATGAAACAATTGTAATAAATAATTTTTGATATAAAAGAAGTCTGATGTTGTTAGTTTATGTTTGGTCTTTTTAGTTTCATGATCTGGCTGCAACAGTCTTTCGTGAACAGCATCCCTTCCTCTATGCCCTTAAAAAAAAAGGGCTTGCCTCACAGATCACTTCTATTACTATCACAGTTGTAACTAAGAGAACATGCAAGAACATCCCCTGCTTTCTGGGAATATAACATGGCAACACCCTAATCTCTTCCATGGTGTGACTCTCGTACTACTATCTTAAAACCATGAGAGTGGGTTTAAAAAAAATCCACCGAAATCAAATCTTGTGTACACGAGGATCATTAAACTGCATATCATCATTATCTCGTATCACTGCGTGTCTTTGGGTCACGAGTTTCTGTTGACTGTCTGATCAGCTCTTTCAATCTTTAGCAGTCAGTTGTGATAGACATCATGGTTACATGCCTGAGGCCTGTCCAGTCAGTCAGGTTTTGTAACCAGACCTTTCTTGGTCTGCCCCTTCTACCCCTCCTCTCTACAGAGCTCTGTGGTATTGTTTTTGAGAGGTTATTAGATCTTATTAGATGCCCATACCATTGAATTTTTTGCCTTTTCACTGTTGTCAACATAATAGTGTGTCTCGGGCAGTATTTCAACCCTGGTAGGGCCCACTCCTCTCCAGGTGGCTATTTTCCCTGTTAGCCTATTTCCTTGTGGATACAGTTTCCTTTCTGCACCATGGGGACGTGAGGTTGGCTTGTGCAATCACAGGACAGCAGCAGGCTACAAATATTTCTTTTCACCCTCCTAGGAGAGCTAGCTGCTCCCAACACTGCTGTATGTACATTCCAAAACTTTCAATCAGTTTTAATAGTATTTCCAGTATAATCTAAACAACGAAACAATGATCAGTAACATTATGTCAACCTGTTAGTAAGTCAGTGTAAGCTAACATTATATATTTAAAATAACTCTTTGTCAAAATTTTATTCTTTAAACTAAAAGGAAAGTAAACAATTTTTCACCAAGTTTATTTAAATATTTTATTTAAAAAAAATAGCAAAAACAGTGATAAAAATCAAAGACTTCCAGTATTTAAAAAAAAAAAAAGTATAAAAAAGAACAGTATTGTTGCAACATGTTTATATTGTTTTAAATACATTAATTTAAGCATGAAACAATGTTTAATTAATTTGCAGGCAAGCTTGCAGTATTTTCAAACAATGTTAACATTAGGGAGCTTTCCAACAACTATTTCCAAAATTCAATTTCCCAAAAATTTGAGAGTTTTTCCAATAACTTGTGATCTGTTAAACGCAAAAACAAAACATTTTCAAATACTTTTTCCATCTATTATACATTAAAGAATGATTCCAACCTATTTCTATCTATTAAACATTAGATATTTTACCAACAACTTTCTATCTACTACACATTACAAATACATTTCCAATAACTTTCTACAAATTATTTGTTTCCAGTAAAATCGTCAACAAATGCTTTTTTTCAACAACTTTCCATCTACTAAATATTAAAGAAAATGTTTCCAACACCTTTCCCTCCACTAACATTAAAGAATGTGATTCAAACACCTTTCCCTCCACTAACATTAAAGAATGTGATTCCAACACCTTTCCCTCCACTAACATTAAAGAATGTGATTCCAACACCTTTCCCTCCACTAACATTAAAGAATGTGATTCCAACACCTTTCCCTCCACTAACATTAAAGAATGTGATTCCAACAATTCTCCATGCAATCTGTATATTTCCAACTAGAGTAGACATCATTAAGTGTCTAACAAATATTCAATACTGAAATAATAATTTAAAAAAAAAAAAAAATATATATATATATATATATATATATATATATATATATATATATATATATATATATATATATATATATATATATATATATATATATATATATATATCCCAGTTATAACCCACGTCGGCTGAAAAGAATATTATTTCTCAAATTATAGTACCACTACTGCTTCATCAAGTTTTCTAACAACTTGCCATCTACTAAACGTTAAAGAATATAGTTTGAGCAGACTTTCCCTACATGTTAGTATTTTGAAACACATCAGCAAGTTTTGTAACAACTTTTTGTATTTTAACTCTTCCAGGTCCAGGAACATGTTACACTAACCCTTTCCGTCCTGAAAAATTGTTATTGTAACTATGAAATATGTGGGTCCAAAGGAGTTAAAATGACAGCACTGTTGCAATAAGTGTTGAAGTTAGAGGAGTGTGAGGAGATGTGGTTTTGTAGAGGAAAAATGAGAACACCCTGGACAGATAAAAAAGAATAATGCAAATGTCTTGAAAGAAACTGACTGACAAAGAGATCTGAATGCACACATCAGAAGGAGATAATCTTCATTCTTTGGTCATGTGATGAGAAGGAGAAAACTCGAGTACATCATGACTATGGGAAAGCTGGAGGGGAGGAGAGGCAGAGGGAGACTCAGAGAGCAGATGCTGGACAGACTGACATCATATAGAAGATCATCTGTGTAAGAAATGACTGAAGGTACACAATAAATAAGAAGGTCGTGAATATACATTAATACAAATGTCACACAGCATGGAGCAGTTCAGAATTAACAAAATCTATGACCCCTGTGATTGTCCTAAAAATCTGTCAACAATTAAAATGGAGACAGGAATCAAAGCGAAGCGTATGTAATATAATTAGATTTATAAATAAATTATTCAATTACGATATAAAACCAAACTTACATACAAATCAATGTAGAATAAATGGAACATTCATCGTACAGTATTGATGTTTACAGTGTGTCAGAACGTTACAATTAAAACTTTATTATTCTGTTCAGCTTTTTTAAAAGCTGCTTTTCCTATGCGAAAGTGTATTATAGCTTTCTCTCTCTCTCTCTCTCCCTCTCTCTCTCCCTCTCTCCCCCTCTCTCTCTCCCTCTCTCTCTCTCTCTCTCTCTCTCCCTCCCTCTCTCTCCCTCTCTCTCTCCCTCTCTCCCCCTCTCTCTCTCCCTCTCTCTCTCTCTCTCTCTCTCCTCCCTCCCTCTCTCTCTCTCTCTCCTCTCTCTCTCTCTCTCTCTCTCTCTCTCTCCCGTCTCTCTCTCTCTCTCTCTCTCTCGACTCGCTCTCTCTCTCTCTCTCTCAGCTCTCTCTCTCTCTTCTCTCTCTCTCTCTCCCTCTCTCTCTCTCTCTCTCCCTCGTCTCTCTCTCTCTCTCTCATCTCTCTCTCTCTCTCCTCTCTCTCTCTCTCTCTCTCTCCTCTCTCTCTCTCTCTCTCTCCTCTCTCTCTCTCTCTCCCTCTCTCTCTCTCTCTCTCTCTCTCTTCTCTCTCTCTCTCTCTCTCTCCCTCTCTCTCTCTCTCTCTCTCTCTCTCTCTCTCTCTCTCTCTCTCTCTCTCTCTCTCTCTCTCTCTCTCTCTCCTCTCTCTCTCTCTCTCTCTCTCTCTCTCTCTCCCTCTCTCTCTCTCTCCCTCTCTCTCTCTCTCTCTCTCTCTCTCTCTCTCTCTCTCTCTCTCTCTCCTCTCTCTCTCCCCCCCCCTCTCTC